TATAGTCTCTATTTGATTTAATCAATATTGCACACATGTTATAATCTGGTGAATTATAATTTTGCTTAAGTGTCAAACTTTCATCGATAATATTTTCTTACTTGATTTTCTTTCTCTCTACTTTTTTAGGGTTTACACTCTCTCTATTTTTTTTTAATTGAATTTTGATAATTAAGTTAAACTATTAGATTTTTTTTTAATCTACCTAGTGTGGATTATTATAAATTTTTTTTTTTCTCATAATGAGTTTGAACAATAATTTTGTTTATCCTTTACTATTTGATTAGTTACTTTACAAATATTTTGTTCGTTTTTCAATTTTATTTTCATACATATTTAATTAATTTTAATTATTAACACATGTCATCATCTCATCAACCGTACACACGTCACAATCTGGTGAATTAGAATTTTGCTTACGTGTCGCGTTCTCATTGTGTGCATTCTTCTTTATATAATAAGAATCAATTGTAGACACATATCACAATTTGGTGAATTAAAATTTTGCTTACGTGTCACGTTTTCATCGTACGCATTCTCCTTTATATAATAAGATAGTATTAGAGGTTACAAACATAAAATTTCCAATGTCGATTATAAAATCTTTTGACCCTTAAAAATCTCTAAACCTTCAAAATTAAACTCTAATACAACATAGTTAACCCAAACATAAATGATATAACAAAAAAATTTTTTTTGAAAAAGTGGCACTTTTGCAAAATTTTTAAAAATGTGGCATTTTTGCAAAATTTTTAAAAATGTGGTATTTTTGAAAAGTGTCATTTCGAAAATAGTATTTCTCAAAATTTCTCTTTGATGATATAACGAAGCTACAACTTTCAATTGTAAAAATTTATTATATATTAAAACTTCTTGAATAATGGTGTATATAAATCGATTTCTGAATATCTTTAATTGGAAGATTTTGGAATGCACAATTATAGCATAATTAATTACCAATTTGTTACGAAAATAAATAATTAAACATTGTTGGTATAAATAAATTAACAATGCTTGGGAAAATCTTAAAAACATATAAAGATATGCTCCAATTATGTTTGGATATAGGGATAGTGTCATTGTACAGTGTTTGGATAATAGTATTCAATAATAGATAAATTTTATTAATTAAAAAGTTTTAAAAAATTAAGAGCTTGACACCTTATCAAAATGACCCCAAAATACTTCTCTTTTAATAAATAGAAGATAAAAATATGAGCAATTTTTTAAAAAAATACAAAAATCATACTCTATGTTTTGTTTTCTCAAATTAACACCAACATAAAATAATACTTTCTAAAAGTTTAGGATATGGTACTAAAAAAATTAGTAATATTTATTAAACTTTTAAGAATCCTTTATATACCGAGGGCCTATACCTAAATTTAGTGATATTATTGAGATCTTTCAAAAAAAAAAAAAACTATGGTATGTTTTTTTTTCAACACTGAATTATTAAGACGAAAAACGGTAAAAAGAGAATACAAAGTTTCAAATAAAACACCAATAGATGTTATACATCACGAGCAACAAAGCTTCAGATTTGAAAATTTTAACATCTCCCAACTTAAGGTGATAACTAACATCACCATCATGACATCTCAACTTGGTCATCATATGCTCTCATGTCTATTAGTGGATTCTGCCTCCATGAGAGTACGAATTCTCAAAACTTAAATCTCAAGCTTCATATTCCGGCAAAACAATGACACACTTCGTACCACTAGAAGTTATTTAGAGATGGTGAGATCGAAATGCTTGTAAACGCCTCGATAGAAGCCAAATAAAAGATCAGACCCTGAACCAATCTATTAATTAATAATAAAAAGCGAACGATGATCTAGTCTGGAAAAAGCTCCAGGATATAATCCAACAGAACCATGATGCAGAACCCACAAACATATTCCTAGCCAAATTAAAAGATACAAAGCCCAAAAGAACTATGACCGATAGTCTAGAGTTCCACGACCCAAAATCCATAACCCATGCCATGATCCATGATTCGAACGGTTCCATAACCCACAAACTGAAAACTACCTGAATATAAAGGCGGAAGAAGAGGTGCCGAAACGAGTAGGTGACATTAGCCGCAGCGACACCGTTGCTTAGTAGATTATGCATCACCACCATCCTGTCAAACTTTGAACTCCACAAGATTTGATATGTAAAAACGATGAAACTTCCATAAAACCTTGCGA